CAACACATATGTTGTCTCATGTGTGCTGATTTAAAAAACAAAATGCAGAAAAGATGCTTGGGGTAAGTTAGACATGGCAGTTTGTCCAGTCTCCACCACTTACTATATTCCCAGCACTGCCTGCAGTAGGGCTGGACCCAGATAGCCGAATAGTCGACTATTTATTCGCTGTGCTACAATCAGGATATCAACACTGTACGTTTTTACATTTCAATTTTTTACAAACTTATTTAACTTACATTTTTATTAACCTGTTCTCATCAGCTTTAAAGACAACACAGTCTCTGAGAGTCCAGAACATCAGAGGGCTGCATGAATAACGTTCTGCAGTAACTTCACTCATTGTGTTGCTTATATACAGCAGACACCTGTGGCCTAAATATAAAGATAAATTCATCAGTACAGCTGGTAGCTATAGTCATTGCCAAGAAGTCTTGAGTCTGATCAAAGTGTTGCTCTGGTCTGAAGAGTCTCGTGAGAGTTTTGTCTTGGTGACCGGAATTTGTCCCCTCAGAGGTTCCACTGCATCTTTGTGTCATCATGCTGCTAATGTTTTGGAGCTCTTGTGGCTGGCCAGCTTCATCAGAGGCACATTTAGAATGTTACACAGTGTCTCTAACATGCAAATGAATGTTGGCAAAATGGCTGCCGTAAATTTACCAGAATTAAAGAGTTCAACTTAACTTTCCAGAAAGTAACTGACATAACTCTGATAGGCATTGATGTTACACACTAGTGTGTCACAAGTTTTACTCCTCTACAGTAAAAAAATAGCTGCGATGAAGTAAAATTCTAACAGCCACTAATAGTACACACAGTTACTGCAACTGAACAGTATCTGTAGAAATCAGTCCTATCGGTGTTATCCAGCTGCAGTTATTTCAGGTTATTCTGACTTCTGCCCTGGGCATCCATATTTAACACCATATGAAACCACACACTGGATGCCATTTTTGGCACAGCAAAGGAGACAGAAAGGAGGGTGAAGAGATATAAGTGAAAAGTAAAACACATGTATGTTCCTGTTAAAGACTGAACCAGTACGATTGCAAGCAGCTTTCTGTCTATTGTCAGGCTACACTGTAAAAAAATAAAGGTTTTGAACATTTCTCAATGTTGTTTTTTAAACTTGTTTTGCAATTTACTGTTATGTTAGAGATTTTTTTTTCTGTTTTGCTAAATTACAGAGAAAAACAAAAGCATGCATTGAACACACTTTAGTTTTAGCTGCTACGTATGTCAGGCCCAGAAGAGCAAGACATCAGAGAATACAAAAAATTGGAAGAGTTCTGATGTCTGTGCAAAACTGTTAAAACATGCGTACATGATGGATGAATGGATGTTTTTGATGGATTTTAAATTTTTTTTTACATGTTGCACAATCTAGCACATGCAGCATTATTAGTATTAACTGCAGCCGAGCAGACGGTGGTGCGGAGTCAAGCAATGTCTTGAGTTGCTAATTGATTTATGAAGTACATTGCTGGGAAGTTAATAAACAATGACCCCATAATTTTACCTTTTTAGATAACTTAACAAGATATGTAAAGAACATATTGATATTGGAGTGTGACCTAAAACTGGTATCAACATAGATCCCAAGCATCCATGATTCTCTGAATTCATAAAATTGGCTTTAAAGGCATTTAATGTATCCGTGCACAGCAACCTATCGTGTCACAACCTGCACATGCCTCATGATAGCTCAGCTTTACACTGCATGCTGTTGAAAACTAAAGACAAACACAAGGAGCTTCATCAGGTGATCCCGGGTTCACCTTTGCTCAGCTGCTTGTTTCTCCGTCGGCAGCGACCGATCTGGTTCTTTTCAAACAATTTACTTTGAATAATGAAGAATCAACAATGAAATGGCTTCTCATAAACCCAGCTGGACACATTATCGCACAAAACGGGCCTCGTGAACCTCATTCAAGACATTCTGGGGTAGTCACAGGAAAACGAGACAACCTTAGTTTGTGAGGAGAACTCACACTGTGAATGATTAAAGAAACGACTCTCAGGCGGTGAAATCGCTGCTTAAAGAGCTGCTCCCAGGAGAGTTATTTTGAAAACTGCTTTCTACCCTTTGGTGAACAGAAAAATGAATAAGCCCAGGTAGACGGAGGCAGAGGCAGAGCAAGAGGGGAAAGGTAAAGCGGCAGAAAGCTCAGTCACTCAGTAAGGGCATTAGCTCTGAGGCACAAAGTGTATGTCGGCAGAATGTTTGGTTGAGGTTCAGTGATCCATCAAAGGAAAGCCTGTCTTTCCATTCTGCCTGCTGGAGAGCCTTTCCTGCCTGCATTGCCTTGCAGTAACTCCCCCCCAACCCCTCTCTGTTTCCCCTTCTCTCTCTCTCTTCCATCCCTACAGAACGTTTCCTGGGGTAAGCAGTACTCTTACGCCCTCTTCAAAGCCATGAGCCACATGCTGTGCATCGGGTATGGCGCCCGGGCACCCGTCAGCATGTCTGACCTGTGGATCACCATGCTGAGTATGATTGTAGGCGCCACGTGCTACGCTATGTTTGTGGGCCACGCTACAGCTCTAATCCAATCACTGGACTCCTCACGCAGGCAGTACCAAGAAAAGGTAAGAATCCCGCGGTGGCGCACATAATAAATACATGAGATTGAAAAGAAGATTGGTTTTACATAATTTATTACGCTGGTGAGCTTTGAAAAAAAAAAAAAAGAAAGTTCACGGTATGATGTACTAATCATTACTGTTTTGTTGTTTCAAGGTAAGTAATGCTAATTACCACTGGGATGGTCTTAAAGTATTAATCTGAGGGGTTTGCTCCTTCTGACTGCATAAAATCCAGCTCATTGGAGCTAGACTTAAATAAATTAAGTCTTCTCTCAGTGGCTCTATGGACCAATGGGTTGAGCTCTCACAGATCACAATATCCGGGGCGATGACTAGGAAAGAGGATTTTCTCTTCCCCTCCTCTCCCTCCCCAACCAAGCAGATCACATAAGGTCGAAAGGGTGAGGAGGTCTCCGACATGACCAGCCACCTCATTGTCTGTATACTGCCAGTGAACACATTTTATTCTTTCCTTTCATTTCAGTCCCTATTACATCATTACATCATTTTTTTTTTTTCGGGTGGGGGTGATTATCCAGCATTTCAACCGAGCCACCATCTGTGATCCCGCTGAGGGGCCTGGGCAATTCCCAGAACAGACGGCCACTGACTGATGCGCTTTGTGTTTGCACGCAAGAAGCCGAGTTTAACTCCCAAACTTTGCCTGCGCTTATGCTGCAGAATTCTATGTACATACAACATAGTAGTGCAGGGGATTAAAGTCCCCTATGGTATGTCCTGATCCACTTCAGAACATGGTTATGATTAAAATGAAGCGCTGATGCTTACCTAATGCTCTAAACAAAAATTACGTCATCTCAGACAAACCGATTTACCACCAAAGTATACAGAAATGTTAATGTACAGAGTTTATCAAAGAAATATTTGATTTTACAATTACAATTTTAGTTTTTATACAATTTAAGGGCAATGAGTCACGTGACTCAGAGATTACCAGCTGTTGATCTTGTCATCAAGTCTTATTGCTTGTGCTGCTTGCTTGAGCTGAAACTATTCAGCTTTGATAAATTTAAACTACATCAGTAATAATAAGCGGTTCATTGTCTCAGTCATAATATTGCAAACAATAGTGTCAAACAATCTGTAATTCCAGCTTTTAAATTTTGAGGAATTGCTGCTTTCCTGCCTAAAAGCAAACTAAATAAGCGAAGCAACAATTAGTCGATTCAAGAAAATCAATCTGCAGCTACTGTGACATTCAGTTTCTTATTTAACTCCATCTGGCAGCTTTTGACAGGTTTTTTTGTTTTTAAATTCTTGCTAACTGAATATCTTTGTATTTTGTACTGCTGGTCAAACAAAAAAGTATTTAATGACATGATCTAAGATTCTGGAATTTCTTTTATACAAAAAGTAAAATGTTTATTAATGTGCTTTTAAAAAATATTAGTTGTAACCCCAAATGCAGCAGGTTACTTTCTCCTTTTTATAAAAATACTTAAACCTCTTGATCAAGAAAATAAACAGCAGAACTGTTTTTATGATCAAATCACCTGTTGATTATTTTCTCGGTTTGTCATTTGTGTCTGAAAATGTAACAAAACACTGAAAATAGTAATAATTGAAATTCGCAAAATATTTAAACATGTCACATATGATCAAGAAAAACAGCAAATCTTCACATTTCCTTTACTGGATGCAGTGGATATTAAGCATGTTTTCTTTTACGATGACTGAAATTATTATTTTTCTATCATCCAACTAATCAATTGTATCCAACTAATCAATTGTATAAATGTTTCGGCTCGACAGAAAACTCAAAGATGCTTAATAACAGTTACAGCCTCATTGTATTTATCTGCACAGATGTGCACGGGGACAAAAGCATTACTGGTCTGACACATAAAGTGCTGATTATTTGTCCTGTGGGAGCTTGTTGCCATTATTCTTATCAGAGCATCGGCACAGTCACCTTGGCTGTGACCATAACGGGATATGCTAAAACACCAGTTCATTAATTTGCACCTTGTTCATAAAAAGCATTTAGCTGTTTTTTTTTTAAGCACGATGGTCTGACCTTGCCAGTTGCTCTCATGGTCAATGCAATTTAGAGAAACAACCCCTCTGAGCTTCTGGCACAATGTAACAGAATTTTTTTTTTAAGGCTTGTTATTGCATTTGCAGTCTCTAACCAGGGTTGGTCCTGGCGTAGAAAAGAGCATTAACAGTAAAATCGGTACAGTAAAGACAAGGAGTTTATAAACACTTTATTTGACAAATCTATATGTTTTCCTGTTATTTTGTATCTTAGATAAACAGAAAGGTCTATTATCCTGGAGTAAATGAAATCTCAATTAACAGAACTGGTTAAAAAACCAATTATCATCACACTGGCGCTGGCTTAAACCTCTTTAAGGGGCACCAAAAACTTTTTGCCAAAGAGCTACTACTAAAACATCAGTATTGCACAATGCCACCATCCATCCATTATCTATACATCGCTTAATCCTCACTAGGGTCACGGGGGGTTGGAGTCTATCCCAGCTGACTTAGGGCGAAGGCAGGGGACACCCTGGACAGGTCACCAGTCTATCACAGGGCTACACTTAGAGACAGACAACCAAGCACACTCACATTCACACCTACAGACAATTTAGAATCACCAATTAACCTCAACATGTTTTTGGACTGTGTGGGAGGAAGCTGGAGAACCCGGAGAGAACCCACGCTGCACGGGGAGAACATGCAAACTCCACGCAGAAAGATTCCGGTGCCCCCACCGGGACGCAAACCGGCAATCTTCTTGCTGCGAGGCAACAGTGCTAACAACTGCGCCACCCTGCAGACAATGCCACCAACAGTTCAAAAATTTAAACCATACTTAATATTTGAAATGACAAAATGCAGATGTTCAAAGTAGACTAATCATATCAACACGGCGATCAAGATGGCACCTTTGCTAAAGAGGATATCCTCAGTAGGATGCCCGGGATGATAACCGCTCGCTTTATCCTCTGACAGACTGAATTTCATCCTCACACTAATCATCAGCAGGTGTTCTCATTAATGCAGGTGAAACACACAGCGACAACGTTAAAGCTGTTGACAGGTGAAGTGAATGTCATTGAGCATCTTCTTACAGTGACAATGTTCAGCGGGGAAAGCTTGTCTTCTGGCATTCATGCGGACGTTACTTGGACGTGTACCTGCAGACTCAACTCACTCCTCTGTGGCAACAGTAGCCTCCATTTTTAAGACAACACAACCTGCCACACAGCAACGACTGCTCCAGAAGATGATATAAGAGCCCAAGACCCCACCCTCCGAACTCCCCAGATTCCCAATCCGATTATTCTCAGGATGTGCCGGAACAAGCTCCGGTCCACAGAAGCCACCGTCCTGCTGCCAACGCCCCGGTGCCAGACCCCACAGGACTCCCCCCAGAGGTCCTGTGTTCACGGCCCGACGGCTCAGAGTGGTTTTGGTGGCACAAGTGGGACCAACACGATATTGAGTGGTTTCAATGTTGACAGCAAATGCACTCAAGAGTAATTATAGAAAGATGGAGCATGGAGCAGGTTTAACGAGACACGATTCAGGCTGACGGAAGATAAAAGAATAACGGCATTATCAGTGATATGGGTATTCCTCATGACTGTAAATTTATTGTAATTCAACACACAATTGTATGATTGATCATAAAATAGCTGGATGCATGTCACAGCACAATCCAACAAAAAACTAATGACAGCACGTCGCCCACAGCAAACAAGTGAGCCTGTACTGTTTGAATTAGTGACATGCCTCTTGCTCAGTATGTGATGTACATCTGCTTCACGGCAAATGTGCTTAATCTACATCCCATTTTATCCTTTCAACATCCCTCCAGGCACCGAACTGACAGCTTTGAGGCTGCGAATGCCATGTTCGTGGTAACAGAGCCCCAGTGTGTAGCCAAGTTCAGCCAGGGCTGATTTGCTGCATGGCTGTGCATATCAGTGGAGCAGGCTGAGGAGCAGCAGGGATGGGTTCAGGGTGCTGAGCCTCCAGTCATTACATCTATCACTGCCACAGCTGGGGGGGTTGGAAACACGGACGCAGAGATGGATGTTGGTGTGAGGTTACAAGTCATCTAAGGGCAGAGGATGTTTATGACAAGGACGTGATGAGGGAGAAGAAAAAAAAAAGTGATGTCAATAGGTTCCTCTTAAATTACAGAAATTCACATTTTAATTGACTTACTCGCTAACTCATGTTTAGAATTAGAGAAAAAACTGAATTATGATTAAAGAGACAAAGGCCATCATTTAAAAAGGTGGAAGAAAAACACACTAAAGCTATAGAGAAGAAAGGAATCGGAGAAAAAGTGGGAGTGGATGAGGGAGAAGAAAAAAAAAAGTGATGTCAATAGGTTCCTCTTAAATTACACAAATTCACATTTTAATTGACTTGTAGCGTATTTTCACGCTAACTCGTGTTTAGAATTAGAGAAAAAACTGAATTATGATTAAAGAGACAAAGGCCATCATTTAAAAAGGTGGAAGAAAAACACACTAAAGCTATAGAGAAGAAAGGAATCGGAGAAAAAGTGGGAGTGGAGGGAAGGAAATGAGGGTGTAAAGTATGCATGATATGGAGACGTGCTGCGATGTCCTGCCGCTGAATCACTGGAAGACTGAGTGCAGCGGTGTGTCATTCAGCGGCTCAAGACTCGTTCTTTAAGACACGGCCAAGCTCTCCCACATATATCACACATCGCATCCACGGTTTAGAGGCCAATAAAAGGCTCGTCTGTCCTGAAATACTGCACCGATGTAAAAATAGTGAAGAGTTTCAGAAAGCGGTTGTTTTCTAGTGCAAGTTTTTAATCTAGATAACACATTATCTTTTAAATATGTTGAATGCGCCATCAGTGTTAAAGATAAGATGTAAATTAGAAAAGCTGCCATATTTAAAGGAACAAAGCAACATGTTCTTTGACAATAAGGAGAGAATCATATTATTATTATTATTATGTGCTGTTTTTATATCAAATTATTTATAAAGTTGGATAATAATGATTATATTTTTGAAAATAAAGCTTTTGTTTTTTACTCAGTGACTTCATATAATGAAGAAATTATATTCATAGTACGTACGACTGCATTTGAACGCATCGTCCTCTAGATGCACAGATGAGTGTCAAACCAATTTCTGCTCAACTTAGAAAAAAACAGAAACAAAACTGCAAAAGCACAAATCTTTCGACCACACTAACTGCCCATTTCCTTCTCATTTTAGACCACCTACAAGAGTTCCATGTTTTTCAGTGAAGGTTTTTTGATTTGAATTTATCACATCTCAAAGTACATCAAAATATGCACTTTAATGTTTTTTTTTTCGAAGATAACAAAGTGCACCTAGGCTGAATTATATCAACAGGAACGCCCCAGGAGTGCCATCAGCAAGAAAAGAAGTGGGTTAATTTTCTGCCAAGTGGCACATCCCATAGTGAGTGTAGGTCTGACTAGGCCCAGACTATTTCTAGAGAGAGAAAAAGAGGGACAAAGAGAGAAATGGTTGAGGTGGGATAATGAGCAACGTACTCCGCATTGATCTTAATTGCTCCATTAGAAAGTAACTGGATAATTAACCGATCGAATAACAAATTAGGGTTTACGTGGGAACAGAAATAGGCCATTACGAACACTAGATGTAGCATGAAGCTGATCAAACCCAAACGTGGCCCCCGTGCCCGACTCTGTGCCCCACCTCGACCACCTGAGTCAAACGGCCTGGTCGAACCGCTGCAGACTCTTTCTAACTTCTACCGCGTGAACTCAAAATAAATCAATTTCCCCACAAAACAAAACCCCCGCTCTCTTATCACCTTTCTGCAGCCGGGAGAAGAATCAATGAGGGAGGCACTGCGACTCGAGTGTCTTCTCCCTCACTGACAAATTCCATTTTGTGGGGCTGCTTGCATCACACACCGGTCAAAGAGGCTGGACCGAGCTAGCAGCCTCACAGCTGCTGCTGCTGCTGCTGCTGGCTCTCACCTCCTGGTCCTCTATGGTTACCAGAGGTGGTGTGAGCAACACTGATTATGTTCAGGTGTCAGCGCTGGATGGAAAGATTGTGTTCACTGCCCTGTCTGTGGAAAAATCTGTGAGGAAACAGAGACTGATCAAAATAGATGAGACGCAGCATCTTCTCTCGTTCCTTCTCCTTTGGGTCGGTTCTTTTCTTCAGTTTAATGTGGCCAGAATTTAAACTCCAGCTAAGATTCAATTTATTACCAGAAACGGGACACCTCTCCCATCTTTGTGGCTGGCAGTAAACCAAAAGGTCCGGTGTCCATCCAAGAATGTGCAGGAAGAAGGAACAAAAAGGAGAAATATTTAAATCTGTCCTCTCACCGTATTAGTGTGTATTTATTCCAAATTCCCAAAAGACATTAAATTATATTGTTCTCCTATAACCTCCTAAAACAACCTGGTAAATTAGTAACCTTTCCTTGCAATACAAATTGAAACAGTAAACTACAACGACATAAACACTAAAACATTTAATAATTTAGGCTTACAAATAAACATTTATGCAATTTTTTACTATTTTTGAAAGACAAGCAAGTGATTCCTGTTAAATTATTTAGAAATGCACTTATTCTTTTTATGTTTTGCTAACTGATGCCCTCAATGTGAGGTGAAAAACTTCTGTTTGTCTCTGATGATGACATATTATCAGCTTTCGAATTATTTTGAAGTGGTTTCAACGTGCTTTACATACATTTAGCTTAACCCTCTGAAGCCCAAAGCCTGCCAGCAGATTTGAAAGATTATGCATTATGTTTTTTTTTGTTTTTTTAAAATCAGAGCCAGAAACTAAAAAGAAAAAAAAAAAAAGAGTCGGATTTTCAACTTCCTGATGTTCTGTTCATCTGTGATTCCCCATTGTGGCAGAAAAAATAACCACATCTGAGCTTAAGTTGTGATCTTACATCAAAATCACTTCTACATGTTTCATATCAGTTGCACCAACCAGTGTCACAAAAAACCTAAAAACCGTACCCTCCTGGGTGAAACCATGGAACAATGACTGACTAAGCTGCGACCGAGAGTCCCGTGACAAAAATTCAGGACCTTCGTCAGATGAACTGCAGGCTGTGTTTGCACAGAGCAGTTAGGAAACAAGTGTGGAAACATATTAAAAATTTAAGTGATCTCTGCATATATTTTTCCAGTATTCTTAACATCTGGGGGCACTTGGAAAAATGTATTGCATGTTGAATTTTCAACCTTTGTTTTTACTTTTATGAAGGATTTGGCACGTAGCTGAGTCACACTGACGTCACACAGAAGACATTTGAGTTTTCTGTACCTCTAGCCATCGCTGTGCTGGGCTTCAGAGGGTTAAACAGGAAATAAGAATCAAAGATGGAAAAGAAGAGCGACAGAATCTATACGGCGTCTTGCCAGACTCAATGCTTACTGTACTCACCCTCAAAATTAAAGAAATGCTAACATAATACTAAATGCAGCCCCTGACATCTGGCCGCTCGTCTGTGCAGCTCACACATCTCTCCATGATATCGGGTATAGTTTGCTGGTTCACGTTAGGTCGTAGCTTGGTTGCCTATTAGGACTGGGCTTCCTGCATGGGTGAGATAATCAGAACTGCTACCTTGGTCTGACATAGCCCCGGGCCTGTACTTGTTCCTACTTTCCTTCACCACCTGCCTCTCTCGTTCTGCCTCTCCCTCCCCACACTCAGAACCAGGACATGGCACTGTGACTACGTGAGAGCACGGCTTGTCCTCAATACAGAGACACAAATATGCACTCTGTGGCGGCCACATTCGTGTGCTGAGATTGCGTTAAAATATCGGATTTTATTTTTACATATTAACACATAAAGTCTTGTTGCACTTCTATCTGAACTCACCCATCTTATTTTTTCTTTTGCCTCTTCCAGTATAAGCAAGTGGAGCAATACATGTCCTTCCACAAGCTTCCAGCAGACATGCGGCAGAAAATCCACGACTACTACGAACACCGCTACCAAGGCAAAATCTTCGACGAGGACAACATCCTGAGCGAACTCAATGACCCGCTCAAAGAGGTGAGACAACTTCTCTCTTAAGACCCTAAACTGAATTTAAACATCGGCTCTTTCAGAAGCTCTTTCATGAATCTCCAGAGTTTTCCATTTGAAGGCTTTTATGTTATTTTTGGATCAGGGGAAAAAATACACACACACACAGAAAGCTCCTGACAGGTAGGTGTCACACGGTTTGGAACATGAATGAGTTTTTTCTCCCCGAAGATGAGCTGCGAATCTTCATTTGGAGGCTTTAAAAGCGCAGGACAAGAAAACAAAATATCAGCACCTGTCATCTCATCTTACAAGGTCAAGTAGCAAAAAAACGGATTCTCCTCGGCATCCAGGGTGAACCCGGACCGAGCGTCAGTCAGGATCTGTACGGAAACGTTGCACTCGCTGCGGAGTTCAAGAGCTGTCGAACAATTACCGTTTCATACGCAGCCGCGCGAGATCAACTGTAAATTTCACAAGTAATGCGAAGGAATCTTGAGGCCTTTTGTAAAGCAAGGAGCCAGTTTGAAGTTCTTGGCTGACCTCCTCGTGTCAGCACATTACATGGGTAATTATGCACGGGGATATTGGACAGGAGAGAAATAAAAAAAAGCAAAGCAAGCGTAAGAGTCACGACCATCTCTCATGTAGCCCCATTAAGTCACCTTGCAGAGAGCGGTGTGGGGAGCCGCCGCACGGTCCCAGACACAAGCGACGTAACGGGGATTTGAAAAAGAAAAAAAAAAAGGTACGACTTACTGCACAGAAAATCCTACAGGCTTAGTTCACTGTGTGCAGCAAGCAAAGGTAAAAATCTGCATCGGTGTCGCACAACAAAAGCTGCTCCCTTGAGAATGGCAGGTGAAAACAAACCGAGCGCCACCGGAGCAAAACAGGACACTAAGACGAGTTTACGTCTCAGTGGTAGGATGTGTCAGCTGTAGTTTATTGCAGCTTTCACCAACAGAATGTAAAAGAAAAGCAGGTTGAATCCAGAACTAGCTTTCAAGCAGGGACCAGTTTAGATTTATTACACATTACTTTATTCTCAGCTCTTTTTAATTGAAAGCAACCTTGACTTCTGAATGAAAAGAGATTATCCAGCACCACAGATAATGTTAGATTACATTATTTACTTTAGATTTTGGATCCTATAGCTCCCCTACTTTTCCTCAACGTCTGCTGGCTTCAGTTTTTAGTTGCTTTGGGCCTTGTCCATGCTAATATGAATATTTGGCAAAACAAACATCTTCCTCTCATCCTCTCAACGCCGTTGGATGCCTCTCATCTTACAGCGTTTTAGGTCACTCAAGATTTTTGTCAGATGCGCTTATTTTTAAAACTTCAGTTTGTGTTTTGCTGCTTCGTGCATCAAACATAAACCTGAAACAACAACATATAGTGGTTTCTGTACCTTTGGTGAGCACTAGCTGACTTAAGTTGGCACTGCTGCACCAGTTTACAGACAGAAACACCTCTGAATCTGCTGTGTGTCACTCCACAGCATCTATAGGTTAAAGCCTGCAGAAATGATGTAATCTTCTCTGGGTGTATCCCTGATGATTGTTTGAGCATTGCAGTGATAGTTGGTAAAATGATGGCTGCATGCATTTTTTTTTTTAAACAGATGGATAATCTGTCTAGAAAAATATCGATATTAGTGTCTGTAAGGCCTTGGTCCACAGTAAAGTCTTTGTAATTCTTGATTGATTAATTTATTTCACTGCTACTTTTGTGATACCGACTCTGTGGGGATTAGTCATGTCAGGTGTGTTGCCTGTTTACTCCCCGTCTCTAAAAATAAGGTCTTTATCTGATCAGCAGCCACAGAAGTAGGTCATTTTAGGGGCTATTTGGGGCCCATAATTACTATAACAGGAGCATGTGCGCTTCGAAAATATGAAACAAAGGAGTCGCTTATAAGAAGTATTGTTTAGACTATCAGAAGAATACAATGAAGTGAAGCAAGAATATGAGAAAAACATCATTTTTTATTAACTATAAATGTTTTTATTTCCATTTACTTGCTATAAAAATAGTATAAAATAAAGCAGCTACACTGTTTGTCCCTTCCACTGAAAATCTGCTTTTGTTGCTACCAGGTTTTAGCGCCTCACCTCTTATTTTCTCCTTTCTACCAGCCTTCTAAAAAACACAACAGGACTAATGCAAGCCTTCAAAAGCCACCTTGCTGAATGAGTGTCTCTTTAGCCATCCTCAGTTTGAATCATGTTAGACTAAAAGCAACTTTACAAACAGTAATAAATTCCAGCTTGATCGATAAGATACAGCTCCATTTGTCAGCTTCGCACGACTAATGGCCTCTTCCCTGTTGTCAGAGAGGGTGTATATTTTATCCAGAGTAGCTTCGCGAGGCTTGGCCTACTTGGCTTCGGTAAAGTGGCCATAAGTTTTATTTTGAGGGACAATGTGCGCGTGTAGGGCTTTCCCCCCCGGTCATTTAACAGTCAGAAATCAATTAAAGCAAGCAGACTAACGTCAGCAGAGCCCGGCGCATTTCAGATGGACTGATACCTGAGTCGGGCTGATTGCTGCTGAGTGTTGGCTCGTTGTGATCCAGGCCGGTCAGAGGAGTGTGGACTTATGGGTCAATTTGAGATCAGAATCAGCTCCACTTCGCAGCACTCAGACAAGCCAAGAATCAAGAATCAGTTAAAGTACACTTATTACTGATTGTGGCATGTCATTTATCACAAGCCTGGCATCAGTATGTCAAAGAGGAAGGCTAGAATTCTGACTACCTGCGATTTACAGCACAATCCTGCTTCAGAGGATCAAACAGCCCCGGGTTTAATGTAGGATCGGATCGGTCAAAGCTAATGATGCTTACAGCAAAGTCTTCGGCTAAGCATCCTGATTACAACGGTGGAATTAAGTTAAAAATGGATATCTTCTCTGATGTGAAAGTTAAAAAGAAAGAAAGAGGAAAAAAAAGAAATATATTTTAGGCAATCTCTGCTCCTGCATATCCAAAACCTCTCCACTGGTTTGTATTGATTCTTGTGCACTGTAAAAATCAACTTGTTGCCGACAGGTAATCCATCACATTGAACATTTGTTGCTTTTATGCAGCTCTGGACAGAAACTAGTGTAAAAAAAAAAACACCTAACCTTTGAACCTTTGGTGTTTTATTCAAGGACACTGTAACATTCAACAATCGATTATTAGCTGGAAAAAAAACAACAACAAAAAAAGCTCTGCTCTGCAAACATGACACCATGACACCAAGCTTTGGGGTGTTTTTTTTTTCCTCCTGTTGCATTTTTACTTATTGTGGACTCATTCTTTACTACAATATAAAGTGTTGCACCTCTATAGAAACAGCATAAGTAAGGAAAACTAAAAAAAACAACAGTGTCTCTACGTACTAAAGATATTTTATGACTTAGATTACTTTTTGTATTGAACTTGCTCTGCGTATGCACAGCCTGCAGTTCAACCCAGTTCAGCTGAAAAGTCCTTGAATTTTTGTTATGTGACTGTTTCTGCTTCTCAGTTGCGTCAGAATCTGTTATTTCTAATGAATGCTTTAATTTTACAAATGTTAAAATGAGACAAGAAGAATACAGTGATATTTTAATGAATTATTATAGTTTTAAGCTGAGAATATGTTATTTTCCTAACAGAACGGCACGTTGCAGATGAGTAGTGCAAAGGCTGTTGGAAAGGTGAAAAAATTCATTGAATATTTCTGTATTGACAGTTTCTGGCTCTGGCAAATGGAATAATTTTGGTGATTTTTTTTTTAAAGATAACTTGCCTTTCAAACCTGCTGCATGTGGCAACTGCATACCACACAATGACAAAGTGACTTGTTAAAAACAAAATGCACATTGTGATGGATTGCCTGTCTTGGACAAGCTTCCCCAAGTTCACTTTCCGACCGAGGTAAAATAAATAACAGGAGCTTTTAAAACAAATATAATTAATGTACAACATATGCAGCTTGTAGTTAATGCAGCCAGCAGAGTAAACTAATATCCAGACTGTTCTGCTTTTCTGTCTGTCCTCTGCAACCCCCCTTCCTTCGCCTCTGTCTCCCTGCCTCTTATTCTCTGCCATATGACAAATCTTTAAATAGGCATAGCCAAAGATTGTTTCCCCAAGAGGAATCCTGGCTGGGCATGAAAACTGCTTACTATCTAATTCATTAGTTCTGGTGCATGATTGAGGTCAAAGCCCCGTGGCATTAGCTGACACCGGCATCTGAGGTTGAGCTAACATCTCTTTGTGTTGCCCTCATGTAGCTAGCAAGCGTTGCAGAGATTGGTTATCTTCCCGTTAATGTCCTGTTGTCACTGGAGGAGAGTTATCCCGCATGTGGGGTCAACAACACACCGCCGCGGATGCCAAGTGCCCCGGCTTTCCATCTGCACGGCAACAGAGATGTGTGGGTAAACAGACAACAAGCTCCTAATCTCCTGCTGGGTCTGAGGGGACAGGATGAGACCGGAGAGATGGCCGGCAGCCGGCACCAGAGGGCAAACTCATCAGGATCTGACTCGTCTGCCAAAAAGTTTCTTCTCAGGAGAGATGGAAAGTGCTTTAGAAGTATTAGGGATAAAGCGGCAATATGCATCCAATTCATTTATGTTTGCGGATGACAGCAGCGCAAATGAAAAATGTATGGCGCTGTCAAGGCTACCTAACTGATTTTTCCACATTTTAGGCAGGAAACAAGTGAATTATTTATGGCCTGATCTCATGCATTTTATCAACACTTTCCTTTTTTTTTAAAATTTCACCAGGAAATCGTCAACTTCAATTGCCGGAAGCTTGTGGCCACCATGCCCCTGTTTGCCAACGCCGACCCCAACTTCGTGACGGGGATGCTGAGCAAGTTGAAGTTTGAGGTTTTTCAGCCCAATGACTACATTATCAGAGAAGGCACAGTGGGGAAGAAGATGTACTTCATTCAGCACGGTGTTGCGAGCGTCATCACCAAGTTCAACAAGGAGATGAAGCTGACCGACGGATCCTACTTTGGAGGTGAGAACAGAAACGCAGCGATCGTTTTCGTCCAGATTTATGTGCTTTTCCCAACTTTCCACATGAAAACGCGTCGTGAATTATAAATGTCGGTACTGACGTGCGGCTCACAGTCACATATGCATTCCTGCTCCGTGTTCATACGCTTACATTCTGAGACATGACAGTAGCCCGGGGCTTCGCGTTTGATGCCGTTTGAAGTTAAGTTATTGTAAATGTAGACTCTCATTAACCAGTGTTGGACGTTAGTCAGCTCCCGTGGTTACGTAACCTCTCATCTGGTTGCTGGAGTGGGCCAAGGCGTGGATCAGGCATCCCTGAGGACACTAGAGGTCCCTCCCCCACTCTCACCCTCACACACAACCACAACCACACACACTCAGACACACATGACCTCTACTCCTCCATACGTTCCTGCTGCATTTTCTTGGCAGCTACAGTGGACGTTTCTTCTGTGTAAAATCAGGAGCAATTCCCTCCTTCTGTTCTCTGCCGCTCTCTTTCTTTCTACACTGGGTCCTATTCCCTCTCCAAAAACATTACAGATGCCATTAATTTTTCAGATGTCAAATGTAATTTCATTGCACGTTGTTTACTCTGACAAAATCCGCAGGAAGACATTGTCGTGTCTGGGCGAAAGCAAAAGCAAAGGTTCCTATTTTAGAGGTTCTTGCATATTTTATCTCCTGAGTTCATCCCCACTATGCAAGGAGGCTGAGGAGTCTAAGAATACCTTCACTTTGGTGTGTCTACTGCATGCAGCTCATGTCTCACAGGCGAGCTAAGGAAGGCAGTGAATCAAAAAAAAAAAAGAAGAAGAAATGAGTCGTCTTTTTTTTCCCTGCTTGTTCCAACCACAGGATTGCTGTCGCACGCTCTCTCATCGTGACACTCGGTTTGCAAAGCTACCTGCTTTAAATGTGGGGTTTCCAGGAGAGGAGGAGGAGGAGGGGGGGCGTCTTAAATCCCACAAGGAGTCACATCGTGATGTGTGGCAGTGGCATGGCTGCAGTAAATCTCATTTAGGAAATATGTTCTCAGGGCTACAGCTTAGAGATATTCTGTGGCACAGAACAAGTAGATCAAGTTTATGAAGCTGAGGTGAAATGTCGGGATGATGCCTCTGGACAAAAAAAGGCTCTAATGAAAGGATGTTAAACAAGAGTTAGTGGGAGCGCATTTCTAACAACTTCACACACAAAGAAAAACAAAAAACAAAAAAAACAAGAGAGACTAAGAGCAGTGAAACTGCTTCAAGTTAAATGGTGTGAAGAAATTCTGGCAGATTTACCTAAACTGAAGGCTTGTGGGTAATACTATAGCTCTATTGTTTGACATTTTAATATCAGAATTTTAATTAATCTTTTTTTTTATTTATTTTGTGTCGTGGGTGAAGTGACCCCATCTTTTGATAATTTGAAGTTCTAACAATATAATGTAAATTCACTTTGATGCTATATTTTGCTAATTTAACATTTAATAATTATCATTTAAGTTAATTTTGAATTCACTTAAATGCATTATTGGTTGATACTTTATTTTTAATAGTTTAATGTTCTAATAATATAATTCAAATTGATATAAAATTATTTTTGGATGATGCTATATATTGATATATTGATATTTTGACTTTCTATTAATCTAATTATTCATTTATTTTTATCTTAAAAAGCTAGTCAGCTGTTTAAAATCTTCGCTGTAACAGCCATTTTTGACACACAACATATCTTTGTATGTTTAGATTAAGGATTTGTGGACGCCTAGAGTCTCCAAAAAAAAAATCTCTTTGTGGTTCCTCAAAAAAATAATGGAGAGAGGCACAATTAAGAAGCTGGAAACAACAAATGTTTCCCTTTTTGGCTTTTAAATGGACTCCATTATCAAATAGTCGACAGCTAATCAAATATATTTTCTAGCCTGGAGTATAATGGAGGCATGAGTAGAAATGGGCAAAGCACTAACAGCATATTTTTGAGGCAGCTGGACAGTTTTTGGATTATCTTTTTTAAAAATCTTTGTCTAAAGCATTTTGAAGGTCAAACCACAACCTATCGTGTGTTTCTTATACAACAGCTCAGTCCATATTCCTTCAACAATAAACCAAAGAGTTCAGAAGTGCAAGAAGACAAAGAAGAGTTTACAGTAAAATACCACATCAGCACCTACAATCAGCTCAATGAAATGGAAAAACATGCAGAGAACATCGAGTAGATGTTCCCTTTTAATGAATCGCTTAATCTTGTAATTAAAAGATGTGTGTGTGCGCTGTATCTGTCCAAAAAAATAAAGGGTGAACTGCTCATTTTGCTGTGTTCTGTCGGTGCCCACCACCTGCTGCTGCTCATTAGTGGATGAGCCCCGAGTTGGGAGCAGCTGGCTGCACCAGGCACCTCACTCTTCCCCCTTTTTTCTCCGATGATTCACACTCCCCCTACAACCAGGCCACGCCGTGGCCAGAATGAGATATCAGCGAGGTGGGGTTTGAGACAGAAACGGAGAGAGAGGGAGTAACAAAACGCAAACCCAGCCACGGGAAATTATTAGCATAGTAATGAGCAGGACGTCTGTGAGGACAGTAGGTCACAAAGCACCTCCAACCACGGCCAACGCAACACCTGCATGCTAAAAAGGTATCAGAGTAATCACTCCTGGGCCCCGTGTGAATGGGATTACATGCTGGTGTCACACAGCTCTGTAGTGTGGTCACTGTGAGGCTGAGGGACTAATGGAGTATAATGCTACCACAATGACAGACAGCGCATGAAAATCCCCATTGGGCTCGAATGTCTTAGTCATGTGGGACTCCCTCTCCTCGGTCCCAGTCACAGGGACGGAGGGGAGGGGGGGAAGGGGAGCCAGTTGCCATGAGAGTATGTGACTCATGAAGTGATGGCAAGTTATCCACAATGCTCCAGGGGTCAGCGGTGATGCTTTGTGACAAGGCAACAGACACATGTCAAACCGCATCATGAGAAGTGTTAACAGGGCCTTGACTTACACACACACCTTAAAATACACTGGTGCACACCAAGGTTTTCCGAGCCATAGCACGAACATTCCCAAGGAGATGTAAAGGTTTGTATGTTTCAGATTTTGCAGATTTTCCTGCCCTCTCATGTGGCGCTTTCATGATCTCAAAAACTTCTATCTGGTGTTCAGCCTGATGGGATGGATTCATGCAGCTTTACTGTTGTATTAAAACAAAGAAAAACATATATTAAAGTTAATGTATAAGGTGGTGTGTGTGTACCTGACATCATTGTCGAAGCATAACCCGGTAGAGCAAATTGTTAGGTTCGTAGTTGGTTGTATTTTTGGTAATTTGCATTCACAAGCGGGAACCTCATCCTTTGCATTGTATGCATGTATTAAAGACTCCAACTGGTCGTTCAGGTCGTCTTGGCAAAAAACAACAATACCTCATTCATCCTAGAAGTTTACAAAATTGTAGATATTTGGGAAATATGTATATTGATTTATTTACTTTCTATTGTTTGTATGCTAAATGTGAAGCTATCCCCATAAAACTGTTAGGGTCACATAAAGATTGAACGCTCTGGTCAAAGGTAAAACAATAAATCAAGACTATTAAACAATTACTAAACATTTTACACCCAACACAAATAAAATATCAAGACATAACATACAATAAAACACAATGACTAAAAGACAATTCTCAATACAATATACAACACAATAAGGAATGAAGTCATAGTGTCCAGCTCTACTTGAATTGAACACCAAATAAAAGAGGAGGGTCTTTAGCAGTGACTTAAAAGTTTCAAAAATCTGAACAGGACTCATGTGGAAAGCTAGACTGGTCCAGAGATCAGGAGCAGCCACTGCAATGGTTCGATTCTTGTGCAAATATCTCAGAACATCTGAGAGTACCTTGTTGGCCGACCTCAGTGCTCAAACCAGGGTGATAATATGAAAGTTTAGCTAAATAAGGAGACACCAGCCCATTTAAATTCTTAAAAACAAACAATAAAAGCTTAAAATCTTAATAAAAAAGGATGTTAAGTCAGTGGAGGGAGGCCAGCCCTGGTGTTAGTGTGATCACGCTTTCTTTTTCCTGTTGAGCGGCTGCATTTGTACCAGCTGTGCCGCTGAGAACACGACTGCTTTATGCCAACATGCAAAGAATTAGAATAGTTTTAACCATGTGGTAATAAAAGCATGAGGAACTTATTCCAAGTTTGTGGGACAGAGATGTGCCGAAGCAAGTTTGGACCACTGAGCGGATCCGTCTGTTTAAAGATCCCCTCAAAGTTTTTCACAAAAGATCAATTGTAATTAGCGAAAGAACCAAGATTGTCATCAGGGTCATCCAAACGGTCCTATTGTCATTAAGACTGAGTCTGAACCTGTCCAGGGTTCATATGTTTTAAGAATCAATTCAAATCTAGTGCAGTGACAGGTAATTTTGGGGGTATCAGTTATTTTCACCTATGGAACCCGTAGACCGGAGCCACTGGCCGCTCGGTGTCAAGTAACATTTACGTCTCGATGCTGCCACACGGCTCGTCGTGCAGGCTTATTGGAAGTACAGTAGTGGGTATTTATTAACACACACCGATCACTCACTGTCCGTCTTTCGATCAGCTTTTGTTTCTCCCCCTTTTGTGAGATGTAGCACGACGCAGGGTTTCCTTTCACTGTCCGTTTTTTTTCTCTGCGTGTCTTCCTGTGTTACCGGAGGTACCACTTAAAGGGAGCTTTTCCAATATAACAACACTAACACCTTATTCACACCCACAGCGTGAGAGTGTTGCTCGCACATCTCGCACACTCTGTGCTCTATTTTCATGACAGCTCGTGGCAGAGCCAAGAAAGATCACACCATAACAACTTAACATTTAACGATTTAATGAGGATGGTAGTTGTGCAGTCGACTGGACAGAAGTGAAAATGTGGGCGGAGGTTGAGCTGTGCTCGAAGATAAAGACGCAAAAATGGAGGAGAGTTTAAATGATCAATGAATTAGGGGGCGGCTAGATGGAATTGGATACTTTCCATCTCCTGCGAAGGATGAGATCTAGCGCTGTGAATGTCAGATGTCAGAATCATGTCTCACCTACATGGCATGCATATTCATTTCTAAATACGATGCTAGAATTAGACTTGGTGTGCATGTTCTTTTCGGGTGGCTAATAATCCACAAGCTTACATGGATCTGTGTCAGACCTGCATAGCAGTCCTTCTGATATTTCTGTACTTTCGGCTCAGTAGGATTTTACATGCAACACTCCTATTTGTAATGTATTAATACACTGTTGTTGTGCTACTTTGATTGGGTTAAAGGACCATAGCACTCCTTACACACCGAGGAGAATAATAAAAACCAGAATTACAGTAGAATACTAGTGATAAACATCAAGATAACGGATGTTATTGTGGCAAAAAGAATGGCTAAGGCTATTATCGCAATATCTATACAAAATTTGAAGGAGAAAAAACAGCTCAATTCATCTTTAACTTGTTTATTGTGTGTTTTGTCTCTTTTTTGGGGCAAATATATTTTATTACAATTAAAATAGTACAAGTATAATACAATACAATAATACAAGTATAGTGAAGTAAAGAGAGCGATAACAACAACTGTATGATGCTTATCTTTTGGAGAGTCAACCAGGTAGCTACTGAGTTACTTATAATATTCTCATATGTACACTTTTAAGGTAATGTTAATGTTTAATTTTGTAAATCAATTATTAATTAATTCTAGTGTTTTGCAACAACCCTAATTACCATTTTGCAGAAGTATCCTGCATATCAATCTGTAATTTCTAATCTGAGTAAGTTCAGTGAGCATTTAATTTAGTGGTAAAGATAGCTACACTAACTGGAAAGAAAAGGCTGCAGGGTTTGTTTTGATGCATTGTTCTATTGTTCTTCTCGTGTCTTCACATGTCAGAAGCAGCAATACAGGAATGCATCCCTGTTTAGCTATACATTACATCTGATGCACTGCAGCGATGCCTGACACGCTGATGTTTTGTTCCTTGTACGGCTGACTACTGCATCATATTAAGGGACTATTAGCCCTCTGCAGGATGATGAATTATCTGTGTGCAATGCAAGCGACAGTGCTGCTGATGAGCTTCTTTTATTTTTACTTACATTCACATTAGCCTCTGCTCCTGTATCCCTTTGTAGTCGGTTCATCTGTATGATAATGTGCACTGTAATTACTGGGACGATCTCCTTTATGTCCCTCTCTGTACTCTCCACTCCTGATGCTGCTTCTTCATGTGTCCAAATTTCTTACGCTCTCTGTTTTTTCCTTTGTCTCTCTGCGTTCCTGCTTTACAGAGATCTGTCTGCTCACCAAGGGCAGACGAACGGCCAGCGTGCGCGCAGACACCTACTGTCGACTCTTCTCCCTCTCTGTTGACCATTTTAATGAGGTGCTAGAAGAGTACCCCATGATGCGACGAGCTTTCGAAACTGTTGCCATTGACCGATTGGATCGTATCGGTAAGATCTGCCTACATCTAGCTGTCCTGTCTGACTGGTCGAATCTCTTGCCTGTCATCGTGCCTTGTTGTCTTGTCTTTATCAGTATTTGTTTGCCTTCTTTCTTCATAAAAGCATTGTGTCTGCCATCTTGTGCTGCATGACCTGTATGCTATCTTGTTTTGTTTTCTTTTAATTTATTATTTTTGTCTCTTTCTTCGTCTTAAATAATATTAAGGAAAATTTTGTTGTAACCAGCATTAATCCTTCTAAAGAACCAAAGTAGAGTTTTGTGGTTGGATTAACTGGAAGGCAGTGCATGTCGCTGTCCGGGAGGGAGTCAGTTCGCCCCCTCGTTGGTTTGGTGTTGACCCCCCCACTGGATGCCAGCGAGTGGATGGAAGCTAACCTCACATGCATGTGTGTCTGGCCCTCTTTCCACTCATCTGCACTCCTGGGTATGAGCAGCACCCCGCCCCATATCAGAGTTCTCAAAAATCAACCAGACACAAACCCCTCTGAAAAGAAACAAAGAGCAGGGTCCGGAGACAGGAGAGTCCCAAGGTCCCCACCAGCCCAGTCTCACACCGAAATGTGTATCAGCCATGCGGGTCCACAGCACAAATGTGTTATTACAACTAAAACGTCTGTAAAATTGTGAGATACTTTTGGTTTTTAGGGGCTGTTCTTCTGCTGGGACTCACCCTCCTAGCAACCAAGAAACAACCGAAGCGTTGTAGTTAGTTTCTTTCCAATTGCATGTTATACCTAGTCTGACTCACCAGTTGTAGACTGCAGGTAAAAAAAATCTGACAGATTCCCTTCTGGTATTTACGGGTTACCACTTAAAATCCACCGACCAAACAAAACATTTCTAGTTTCCCTGAAGGTTTGAATTGTGCATTGGCAGCTCTGCTTGATTTCTTTTGTTTGTTTTTTCATTTAAATTAGCCATTTCAGTCAAATGCTCCACCAAAACCATCCCCCTGTCACATCTTAAGGGGACACTGTTGCTGCATCCTGGGCTTAGCACCACCCAACATGATGGTGATTTGTTTAAGGAATACAAACAAGCCAGAGTGTTTTTTTTTTTTACCCTCATTGCAGAATGATAACGAGGTGCAGTCAGATGATTCTGCTCAGCACTAAAGAAAGGTCTGGCTAACCCAAACCGTGTTCTTTTTCTAAACCTAACCAAGTAGTTTTGGTGTCTAAACAAGTTGTTGTTTTTTTCAGTATAAACCAAAGCAAACAGCGACCAAAAGCAAATGAAAGCAGTTGCAGAAAATCTGAAAAAGTCACTAAAAATGCAACAAAGTTTTAAAATATTACAAATGAAGAATGGTCCCATGTCTCCTGGGTGAAAGTCCAGCGGTCGATGCCACCACCATCCCTCTAGCCTCCTATACTGACGTTCTTGCTATTTTTAAATGGAAGGCATAACATTTATATAAAGGATGGCACTAATGATCATGACATCCAAGCCTCAAGTTTGGCATTTGGTCATCGTCATGCTGGTCTTGTCAAACCAGACATGAATCTTATGGAGACCTTGAGGGAACTATGCATGGTGACATGTCCTAAAACACACCCTGCTTTATCGTCTATGTCACTCTGACTGGGACCCTACTTTAAAAAAAACACCATGCTCAAATCAGACTTCTTTTAGCAACCAGAGGAGTCGCCCTCTGCTGGTTTTTAGGAGGAATGCAGGTGTAATGCACCTCTGAGGTGGGTTCAGACTTCGATGTTAGCCCCCATCATTCATATGAAGCCTATGGCGAAAAGTGAAAGGACGTGATATGAAACTTGCGAGTCACATGGCATGTCCGGAGGCCAATAGAAATGAAGAGAGCCAAAAACAGCAGACATCTCACTATTTTGCAGTTTTCTTGTGATACTTTTTGCGCTGTGGACCAACGTGGCTATTAGTGTGAGACGGCGCTGCTCCCACATGCATCAGGTCCAGTCCAGCTAACGGGCCGGACCCTGTATGAGCTACTTTCTCATCAACAAAACAAAATCTGCTTTGACTGTGTAGTAGAAAAATGTTCATAAAGGAAGTCAAATACGACTGATTAGAGTTGAGAAATGATCCTAAAAAGAGACACACGGACTTGTGACATGTTAAAAAGGGGCACATGTATGTAACACAAACAGGGCAAGAATTGGTTACGTGGACCTCAATGTTGCACATTCTCCCACTTCTTTTTGTAAAATGTGTTCAGTCTGCTCTAGTAGTTGTTCCTGACATTTTATTACAAATGACCTGACAGTAATAATTCACCATGTCATGTCGAGTAAAAGTTAGGCACACTGTCATACTGCTTTTTATTCAAGTCCCACTCAAGAAGGAAAAAGACAGAGTGAATAAGTGCATAAGGAGGATTACCCTGATCTGTTGATGTTTCAGATACATATTTTAAGATCGACTATCACAACCCCTGAGTTGGGTAATCTCATTTGTTTCTCCCAGAATATTTTAAATAATACAGTGACATCTTTATCCTATGTCAATCTAGATAAAAAGAATTTAAAACTGTAAAGTCATAGTTCAGAGACTGTTAGTCTCTAAAGCCGAAAAAGAAACCTTCTAATTCCTTATATAACATTACAGGATTACTGAGTGAAGCTTGAAATGATAAGTAACGTTAGTGCTTCAGTTTGTTTAGTTAAAAGTTGTTGTTTTTTTTTTTAACAGATAAATCATGCATTAAAAGCTTTCCCTGCGTGCACAATGCCGGCACGCAAATTTAATCAGAGGACAGTAAATCTGTCAAGTGCATCCTGGGTGGATGCTCTCAAAATAAAAGCCTATTAAATAATTGGCTGTATGTTACTGTTGGTGAATAAAATCACATTGCATCAAGTTTTTACCACCACCTAGTCCTCTGGTTCACCGTAACACAGAGGTACAAAAATGCACAAAACATGTTATGGCTAAATTTTTCTTCTTCGAAAAAAAAAAAAGAAAGACATCCCTTCTGAGTGATTTATGGGTCACATTATCAGTTTATATGGCTGCTACACCTATAATAAATTAGCCACATGCTCTCACTACATTTCTTCTGGCTTTACCAATAAAGCCACCTTCCTGTCCACAAATTTTTACTGCCAGAAGAGGTCATAATGTTGGGTGATTTGTTTTTCATAATATATAAAAGCTGGAGTATGCAGTGTGTTCCAGAAGCATTTTATGATGGGTTTGTTGAAAGTCTCCTCACGTCTCGCCAGGAATCAATAAATCAAGTGATCTGGGTTATAAAAATAAAGAAAAAGCTGTTGTTATATGTGGCAATCACAGGCCTGCATAAAGCTGATTCTTGCATTTAATTTGAATAACATGATTGGATGTCCTGCCTCCCTGTACACACCGTCTGTGCACTCATTGGGTGTCACCGGACTTCGACAACCAGAATCTACAACATCTTGCTCTGCTTGACATTACAATCTCATAATAGTATATAGACCAGCACAAGATAAAAACCATTAAACGACACTTTTGCACAACTGTGTTACAATAAAGAAGGCAGCGACACGTAAAACCTTCCTTAATTAAAGCAGAGGTACCACAAAAAGCACTGAAAGATACACAATACAGAAATGGACACAATCATCTGTTTTAGCAGTGCAACATGTTGTAGGTAAAATGCAGCTGCACTTTTATTCGTGTACCATTATAATACTATTTGCCAACCGGTGGTGCTCAATAATCCCATAATGTTATATAAGGAATTACAACATTTCTCATGGATCGAGAGCATGTAGGCAGGTGCTGGTCAGACCTGCAGGTAGGACATCCAATCACTTCTTACAGGCCTGCGACTGCCACAGATTACAGATTTTCCTTCTTTGTATTGTCAGAGCACTTAATTCTTTGGGATTGTAAAGCCACTTTTAACAAATGCAACTAAAAAAATGCTTTTGTAAAACAATTCATGCTCCAGCTTTAACCACAAAACAAGATCACCACGATAAAGAAATACTTTGCATAAGTACAGTGTGCCAATGTTGTCTTATATGAATGGTTCAGCTTGCAGTCTGTATCTACTTTTCTGTCAGTTATTGTTGTTTTTCTTTGTCATGGCTTTGTATTTGTGTATTATTTTGCCTGAGACAGGCACATCAATATTTGCAAATTGCTTTGTAACCTAAGTGTTGACTCAACATTCAGATACTGTAGTGGCTAAATCAATCAGAGCCCAACAACAGATGTTTGTCACATTTTCTCCTCAGAATTACGTTCACATACAACTATATTTGGAGTAGGGGGGCGTAACGCTGCCTTGATGACTGGATTAAACTGACAAAACATTTGGAAACTAACCACCATTGCAAAGGTTAATGTAAAAAACAAATCTGCTTAATGCTCATGGTTTTACTTTTTCGTTTTTTTTTAAATTAATTCAAAATCTACTAATGGCAACAGCAGCATGGTTTATAGAAAGTCAAGCAAATAAAACTACTTGTGATCATGTCTAAATTTCACAATGCTCCACGACACAAACCCCCATCTGTGGCTTTGTGCTTCCCTCCATCCAGCCAGGCCTCAACGCGTTCACTTTTACGTCACCCTGCTTTCGTGTACTGCAACCCGAGTAACTAATTGTGACTTAGTTGCATATGAACGTAATTCACAGGAGTCAAGGTTGCATATTGTTTGGAAAAGCATAGCATTTAAAAAGCCTTTAGTGAAGTATAAGTTTTGTTTCACTGTGCCCTTCACAATGCCCTTTGACCTCAACAGTCCTGATCTACATTTGCCCTTTTTATGAGAACTACCAGCTGAGTTTAGCTTTTAACCATAACTAAGTGATGGGAAATGAAAGCTGCCCACTCTGACTGACACCTCTCAGAGTGACATAGATTCAATCCATCCTTTCAGACCAACCATGAAGGGGGTTTTGTCTCATACGAGGGAAGATACTTTGTCATGATCCGTGCTGGTTGTATCGTTTCTATATATGAACTGCATTTGGTTACATGCTTGTCTTGCTCTAAAAAGGAAAGAAAAAAAAAAAAAAAAGAAGTAACCATGCTTTGAAACCAATAACGTGTTGCACATGTGACATTATCTTTTATCTATCTAAAAATTATTTGACCAGGAGTCCGTCTTGAGACGAGCACATCTCGTTTTCAAGAGTGTCCTGGCCGACGAGTAGGCATCAGGTAAACACTTTATTCCAATTCCAATATTCGAACAGGGGCAAACTGACCTATTGAGGCTTGCTAAATGGATCCGGTCTCAAATTCATCCTCCAAGAGTTTAACCTCTTGCTGAAGGTTACATTAAATGTTTAATTCCTGCATCAGTGACACATAACTCAAGTCACCCACAGTAGTCCTGCAGATATTTTGATGGACACATTCAAAATGTCAACAACTAAGACAATCAAGGAAACAAAGAGATCTCATTCACTGTTACATGCCATCTTTACTTTGTAACAGACTTCTCACAGAATAATCAACTGGATTATGAGAACATACTCAGCTCTAATTGTGTAACATTTTTATTTATCAATCTTTGAATTCTTTGTTCAAAGTGTATCCACGAACAAAATCATGTCTGCTGATTAGTAAAAAACCTTTACTAATGCAATGCCACACACAGTTTTTTGTTACATGCCGAGGTCCCATTTCATTATTTATTCATGTTCTCACCAATAGCAAAAGTTTGTTTCTGATTGTCTGACTTGAAATATGAATTCTGTCTTTTGTGTTAGTAGTTTTGCAAAGTGAAAATCATATGAAAGCCTGTTTTTTTAATCTTTGGCTAAAACTAAAACATCTGTCATGAACAAGCTAAGAGGGTAACTTCATTACTTTCTCACACAGTTACCTCTTCTAAAATGTCCTCTTTGATAATGATGTACTAAATAAAGCTCAGCAAGAATAAATTTAAAAGAAAACAAAACCAAAACTGCAGGTTATTAGTAACATTTGCAAGGTTACTAGTTAGACTGAATCAGTGTGTCTCTGTGAAGCCATGAATGCATCTCAATCTGTCTTTGGAAAATGGTGTGTTTTCTTTTTTTCTTTATGAAATGCAGTCTTCATTATTTCTATGATGTCCGTTAACATTATGTTACATGTTTCGTTCGTTTTCTTTTCTCTGTTTGGTTGATGTGACGGTTTGTTGGCTTTTACGGTTTTGTGCTGATTTAATTTGGGCAAATAATGGTGATTTGACACATATTTGATCTTTTTTTTTTTATTTCGAGTTTATTACAAGTTTGTGTTCGTTAAAATGAGCGTTTACATTTTCGTTTTTGTCTTTTTATTCGTTTTCATTTTCTTTTGACAGTCTTTCTATCCACATTTATATATATGGACTTACAGTGGAATAGTAACGTGTCCAAAAAAATCTTAAAATACTTAGCTGAAAACAAAACTATGGATGCTGATACAGTGGCATTAATTTCCAGAAATATACACACTGTATATATCAGGTTTTGCAGAGTCTACTAAGTGCGGCCTGTAGAGATTTGCTTTGTAATAATATATGGCCTAAGTTTAAACTGTTGCTCACAGCAGGACAGTAATTATGTATGTACAACGTGTTTATTAAGCTATAAATCAACCTCACATGCTACTGCAAGCGTGTGTATACTGTATATTTGTGGTATATGTGGTTAAAAGGTTCCAGCTCAGCCTTTGTTAGTTAAGCGCTTCAGCTCCATTCTGCAAGCACACCTATATATATATATATACATATCTACATATGTTCTACCAGCGCTCAAGAGACCTTGTGATGGCAATATCAGCTGCTGTAGCCATGAAACAGCAGGAAAAAACACCAGCTTTTTAGAAGCTGATGAACAATTTGCGTCTCCAAATAACTCAAATGTATATATAGCAATGAGAGACATTCTTTGATAAGTGTTGCTGAACAATAAAGAGGACAACGTATGCAAGAGAGTAAACAGCAGCAGAAAAAGCAACAGATAAGACAAATGGTACTTTGCAATATATCTCTAGAAACCTGCAACAGTGTGCTTTAAATAAATCTACATGTTAGGAAGCACTCTGAGTTCAAACGTTTAGCAACAATAACTATAATGTATGTTAATATACTTATATACCTGTGTTTCTAGTTAGTAGGGTGCAACGTATTGACACATGTTCCTTTTTAAAATTGCTGAATTCTTGCACAGAGATGAATGAAATCCTAACTATACCGCTGTGTCTAACTAACCCTTGTTGGTGTATTTGGATGTCGCCATCAAACCAGCAAAGACTCAGATTCGGATCGGTTGTGTTATAACAAATTTGTGTATTCCTTCCGATCTGCAGAGTTTAACCCAGTCGCCTTTAAAAATGCAATGGCCGCTGCCTTGTAAGTTACCAATAGTCCTATAGTTCCTGGTGTTTGGCTTAGCTTCCTGACCCTGTAGTGATTGTCGCAGTAAAAGTGACCAAATGGAGAGCTTGATTCTGCTGCAAAACATGACATCAATCCAATTTTCAGCAGCAAAAGTCCTGTCTTCTAGCTGAATGCATGGCTTACTGGCAGCCTTGAGGGGAGAAATCAGTCCAGCAAACGCTCCTGCTCCTCCTGCTGCTGCTGCCGCCGTATGGTAAACTCAGTGGAGAAATCTTCTGCCCTCAAGGACGGGGCTCAGTGATTGATTGACTGTAGCTAAAGCCTTCAGCACACTAAAAGTCCTCTCCGTCTTCTTTACCGACAACGCTTCACAGCTTGTCGATACACAAGGTCAACAGTAGTTACAGGAAACACATCCTCTACAGACATTTGGAAGGAATCGTTCAGAGCAAATATGCTAAATAGAGCTTTAAAATCACCAAATGTGGCAATTCTTCCTGCAAGACCAGTTTCAAGACATTTTTCGTGCCTTTAGTACCACTTAGCATTTTACCACAGTTTTGCTCCCGAAGCCACAAAAAGTGGTTGGTGTAAAAAAAAGCCATCTGTCAAGTCTTTATCACGGTTCATGACTTGTGACAGGCTGGGAAAGATTTTCCTGTGGGCTCAAAATGACCTTTACAATGCATAACTGGAGTATTTTTTAAAAACCGTAAACAGTGTGGTCACGATATCAGAGGAAGTTTGTATCATTACAGCTGAATTCTGCGGACTAATTAATAACCTTTAGGAGTATTTTGAACATTTTACTCACAAAAAAAGAGAAGAAAAAAGCTAATCTCATGCAAATCTTAATGATAAAAATAACCAATGCAATCTGTGGTAAGATGAGAACAGTTTAGTTATATTTAATGTATATTTACAGACTGTATCCAGCTACAGTAAAGTGAAGTAGTGTGTTAGCTTTAAACCTTTGCTTGTTTTTATGCTGTTTAAAAGCCGAAAAGCTATTTTATCTTAAGTGTCCTTGTGATGTGTTATAGCCGAGTTGTCGATGTGATTTAAATAGACTGTGACTTTAAATTCATTCTTAGAGCTTAGACTTTTTTGCCTTTTTTCTTCTAAAAAATATAGAATTGTCCAGTACTGTGTAGGTACTCATCAGTATTCCTCTGTGTTTCACTGTCGACATCAGCACCTTCACCGTCTACGCTATCATGTCACACTTTCAGTAATCTTTGTCTCCCTATGTGTCCTTCACTTCTCTTCAAAATGTATACTTCCCATAGTCATTACCATCAGATGTCCTTCACACTTTTTATTCAATATGACAGTCTTTAATGGACATGAAAAGACGCAGCTTGTAAGAGTGAATTAATAAATTTAGTAGAATCAAGGAGATAAAGTCCCACCGTTCAAGGTTTAGTGTCTGTGTTTGGATGATACAGAAATGCTAAAGTGCTAAAACCCGATGAAAACATACAAGCTGCATCTTTATCGTCCTGAATCCTGCCCTTTTCCTGTGGTGTAGTCTGACCAAAGTTTGCCATGGCTGTATGTGTTCACCTCTCCTGACTGCACCCCAACAGGGAAGAAGAACTCCTTGCTGCTGCAGAAGTTCCAGAAGGATCTGAACGCCGGCGTTTTCAACACGCAGGAGAACGAGATATTGAAGCAGATTATCCGTCAGGACAGGGAGATGGTGATGATGGTGGACCGCAAGCAGTCAGTCACCGGGATGAACTCAACACCAATGTCAGGAAACTCCATCATTAACTCACCAGCCCAGCCGCCCTTCTCCACTGCCTTCGGCACCAATCAGCTTCAGCAGTCCTCCGTCCCTATGACCTACAGTGCTTCAGCGATTGCTAACGCCTCTGCTGCCCGCATGCTGCCAGCCGCTGCAGCTGCTGCTGCTGCTGCAGCGCAGGGGGTTTACCCAGCTCCTAGTCTTTCTCACGGCAACCTGAATGCCTCGTCCACCAACCCACAGACCCCACTCCAGCAGCAGGGAGCCATCATGTCGCCCTGCTCCTTCACGGCTGCCATGTGCAGTCCGCCAGTTCAGACCCCTTTGGCTAACCGGAGCTTCCAGTACGGCTCACCCACAGCCTCCCAGCTGTCACTTATCCAGCAGCCCATTGCCCAACCATCTCTAGCCACACAGCAACAGCTTGCTCAGCAACCTGCTGTGTCACCTGCAGCTGCAGCCTCCGCAGCACAGCAGCAGCAGCAGTCACCTCAGCAGCAGCAGGTCCCGTCACCTCAGCGAGGAGACATCCACAAGAGCACACAGGCTCTTCAGTCAGGCAGCTTGAGTCGAGATGTCCGACACCTATCGGCCTCCCAACCGTCACTGCCACATGACACATCGCTGGGGCCCAGAGCGCATCCAACCTCAGGAGACTCTCTGGCCTCCATCGTGCCACCATCAGCGGCGGCCATGCAGGGAATGAATCTACAGAGTGGCATCCGCACTACGGTGCCGCAGCGGGTCAATTTGTTCCGCCAAATGTCGTCAGGAGCTTTGCCCCCGGTGCGCTCGGCCGCAGCAGCGGCGGCGGCGGCGGCGGCAGTGGCAGCAGCGTCGTCATCCTCAACCCAGCACAGAGAATCCCCCGGATCGAGGAGAGATTCTGTCCTGAGCAGTACAGAGACTGAGCAAGACAAAATGCGTTTTGCATCAAATTTATGATCCCATTTTTCTCTTCCCTTTCTTTTTTTAAATATGTTTCAATTCATTTTTAAATGGAGCTAGAACAAAAGAGGTAAAAATGAGGAACTTCAGCATTTTTTTGTTTCTCTCCAGTTTTCTTCTAAAGTAACCTCATAGAGATCCTGTATATATAAGCCCTTGTATTATATTTTAGACAACTTTGTCTCCCTAAACTTAAGAATGTATATTATACGGATACATCTCTTTTCTTTTATGCCATGTATCTATCTATCTATATATATGTAGGTAGATATATATGTGGTTGAATGGATGTGTGAGTGTGTGTGTGTGCATGTGATCACGTGTGTAAAATCCAACGACAATATTGGCAATGGCAATTTAAAGCTGTAGTATAAACATGAGTCTTCCTTTCCGAGAAATATAAAGAATTATATATAATATACAAAGTTGTTTTTTTTTTTACTTTTATTTTCTTTCTTTCTTTCTTTTTTTAAATCTGGAATGCATTGTGAAATTCGACTTTTTATTTATTTATTTATTTATTTATTTTTTAAACCACAGGAAGAGGAAAATTATCTTCTCCTATTAAGCAGCTTTAGGCACCACTGTGGAAAAAATAAATGCAAGCAAACTCTCTCACAAATAATCTCAAAAAAAGCACACACTCATAAAAATGAATCTCATACCAATTTACTGAAACCTCATTTTCAGAAATCAACACAAATACTGTAATTAAGTATTATGTTGCTCTCTGCGACGAAAAAACACAGTCTGCTGAGCCACTATATCCCCCACAGAGGCTCGCGTACAAACCATGACAGTGTTATGGGTCCAAAGGGAATAGATAATAGAAATGCTGCTTTCTCTGTTTATTTTCGAGGAAAATGGAGTGTGGAGACAAGATATGGATGGATGCTATTGTTTTTCTATTTCTAATTTCAGATGGCTGAGATGTTACGTAATGTTGCTTAAAAATTCTGTGTATATTTATAATATTTATAAACTAAAGATTATCACCATTATGCAATAGACTGTGACATAAAGATTACCTATATGTGTGCTGTAAATAGTTTTGTAGATCTAGTATTTACAGATACTGTGTGGTGCATTCTCTATCATAACAATGTCTTACTTCTATCAGGAACCTGGATATCATCTATATGCGACAAAGGTTAAGTGACAAAATACATATGTTTCATAAGAGATGAACAAACCTTAATGCAATAGCTAGCTCTACTCGATGCTGAGAAGCGCCTGATTGAAGGACATTTATAATTCCCTCTCTTCTTCTTCTCTCTCTGTATACTATTCTTAGCGTAGTTTCTGATTTCACGTCAAGACAATATACAATATTTACACGACTTGGTTTCAGTGTCATCCTATTAAAAGTAAATGCGTCTTTTTCTATCACTTCCCAAAAACTGCAGAGGATCACTTTACGAATGATTCGTATGAACTGTATTGCTTAGGGGTGGAAATTAAGACTTTCATTTTTTATTCATTACGCGCTTTTTTTTTTTTTTTTTTTTTTAAACCATAATTCAAATTCTATGCTTGCTCATCTTGAGCAAAGCTGTACCGGACGCTGTCATATCACCATAACTGTAGCCGAGGAGCCCGGCGCCACGTTTTCAGCACGTGTGTTTTAGGTTAAGTCACTCGAGTGTAAGCGCAGGTCGGGGACATTTTCACCACGAGGTGTTTTTGTGCTCCTGCAAGGGAGGGAATGCTGGTTTGCATTAAGGTTTCTGTCTCATGTAAATCCATTATGTGGGCTTAGGTACTCTAAACTGACCTGGACGTTGAGGCAGGGAAGGAAGGTCGAGCAAGAATATTGTGACTCTATAAAAAAAAAAAGGGACAAGAGCTTCGTTGAATATTTTAATCGTAAAAAAATGATCTGATGACTCAACTAGACTCAAGCAGCCATTATGGCTCACAGGTCCCTTCCCTGCATATACAGTAGGTTGTACATTGTGCTCGGGGCCTCGCTGCGGTCTTTCTTAATCGAATGTGACAAAGTATTCGACACTCAGTCATGCAGAATATCCATTCGGAGTCACGGTTTTCACGGCACCAAATATCCCATCAGTTCAAAGTGACTAAGCCCTGTGAGATACCATTTTTAAAAAGATTTGCAAGTCTTCACTACAGATTGTGTCGATAGTGTACCAATACAGTCAACCCACCAATGTCATGAAAGCATGCGCTGTCACAAATACTTAAAAAGATACTATCTCGAAAAATGTTGACGTTAAATGTAATGTTAGATTATGTTTTGTTCATTGTCTGTCTGCCTAGATGTTATCTGTGTGTGAACAGAAGCATTGACTTTTCACATGGACATTCTAAAGTATTTGTGCCTAAACTTATAGCCATGTTCCATCCTTTGTTATGAGTGTGAGCTCGGTGCGTACATGGGGCACCGCCGCACACAACTGCGCGTTCATTCTTACTATAATCTATGTGTTCTATGTCTCAGTGTTTTTAGACAAGAAAGGAGTAAGCAATGATGATGGCCAAATGTCTCAGTTTATCCAATTGGTATCTTTACTTACAATGTGAACTTCTAGAGGCAGGTTTTTTTCTAACATTCTCAATGGAGCTATATAGAATATTTAATGAGGTCGTGTACAGTTTAAAAAAACAGAAAAAAGTGGAGAAAAAAAAGTGCAATCTTTAGACTTGCGGTAATATCACGCTCAATGAGACATTGTACAAATTTGGAGCACCTTTATACCTTTCTTTGTAGCTAGCCACTGATGTTTGGATTGAATATTGATGTGTGGAAGGAAACTGGCCAAAGCAAAACATTCTAAGTCATTGTCTTTGTTTTAAATTGCACTTTCTGATTTAATAATAATAATAATAATAAAAAAAAAGGTATAGATTCTTTCAGCTAGGTTAGATGTTGAATGAGTTAGTAAGAGAGCGATATCCCCGAGAATTTGTGCTGCCCCTGAGGTTCGAAATGAAGGGGAAGGGAGGGTAATGGGGGGGGATATTCTATTTACAACGAAGAGCGCTTAATCGTGAATATGCCATAGTGTATAGGAACTAGTACACAGTCGAGATGGATAGCAGCACTGTTGGTTTGTGCTGTTTTTGATACTTGCCTTTGGAGGGAGAGCTTCCCAACTATGTGCTTTTTTCACTATACCAATCGCAACTAACATACCGGAATGGGCATTAATGGTGATGTATAACACAAACTAATGAGCTTACATATTAGCAGTATAGAGACTCTCAACAAACCAGCACATATATTTGTATATTTCTTTTTTTTTGTTTGTTGTTTTGTTGGTTTGAGAAAAAAAAAAACACAAAAAAAAAAAAAAAATGAAGAGATGCAAAAAGAACTGATAATGCCCAGAGAGGACAAACCAAATGTTCGTTTGGTTTTCGATGACCACAGGTTTCATATGTTTACTGATGATATATGCGCAGTGGAAAGAGGGGCAGAAGCGACGACGAGCTGCTCGGTCCTCTTAAACCCCACTCACATGGTCATTGTTCAGCTCATTCATGTAATCCAAGGCTTAGAGAAGTTGGTTACTTAACACGGACGAAAGAAAGATAAATGTAAACTTTCTTACAACAATATGCAGACAAACAGTGTTTGTCAAAAAATCTTTTTGATTTTTTTTTTTTGTTTATTTTGTTTGTAAATAATAAACCTTGAAAATATAGAAAATAAACGACATATTGTCATTTAATACGAGTGTGTTGTCATTCTATTGCTGGACAGCGAGTGTTCAGAAAATGGAGGAATGTCTTCAGAGACGAAGCGGCGATGCGACGGGTCAGAGAGTGTTCAGGAACAGTAGCTGTCAGCAGTTACAGACAAGGTGAAAGGAAATCAGTCTTTGTGGCCAACAGGGATTTGCATTAATTACCTACAAATCCAGCTATCAGTCACACACAAAAGACAGATTTCTCAGTGTGTACTCACAGGAGAGGTGTTACTTAATATTGGCAAACACGTCACTTTTACCAGCAAAGTAGCCTTGCTCATATTTAAAACAGTGTTTTGTCTGGGAAAAAAACAAAACTAATTTCCAATGATTCTGATGATAAAATTATAATTTGTCAAGCAATAATGATAAACTATTGAATTTGACGATTTTCTGTGACTTTCATTTTATTATTTTGTGGTGCTTTAGCAACATATGAAGCAACTGAGTGAGAAAACTACTTCCAGATGAAACAATAAAGAAAACATCCTTTAGCTGCACTTACAATTAACTTGTTAAATGCATTTCTAGTCAATTCTAACACTTCTAATAACATCCCCCAGACTTAACTTCTGCACTGCACTCTGTTTTCTCCGTCGCAGTTTAAAACACAAGTTCGGCACAGCTCAAATTGCAGAGTCGGTTTGTGGTTACCTTTTGAACGACAGCTCGTCGGGGTTACACCGGGGTGACGCATGCTTCAGTTGATCTGTAGCTCCGCTATCACAGGAACACCGTCCTTTATGTTTCATTAAATGTAGAGTGAGATTAATTTTTCAGGTTGCGTTTGTGAGACGTAACTTAAGATATAACAATTAAAGTTTGTCTACGGAGCTACTGTTACAGAAGCATCTTTACCTGATACAACGACTAGAGTCACTACATTATCAGTCGTGTTAGATTAGATGTTGACAACATGTTGTTATTTATGCAATTTACCCCTTGAAGAATATGAAAAATAAGAGACATAAAGCTGAACAAAACAATCTCAACTCAACACTCTTTAACTTACTACTTTTTTCAAATTGTTAAATGTTAAAATAAAGGCATAAGGAATGTGTGATCTATAGCTTTGCTGATTGTATCCACAGTCTGCTGGACTGAAGCAGCATGCACACATATGGTGCTGTAGGATAACACCAGGCAGGTCTTTCCAAAGCCGTTTAACTGAACAAGAACAAAGCCCATCCATTCATCTTCCATTCAGCTGGTAAAATTGTTCAACTTCTCTTTAATTACAGAGATAGCCAGGCTTAATGGGATTAATGAATAGCCTGATTAGCA